GAGAGAGAGAGAGAATAATTCAGAAACACAATAACGCTAAAGAGAATAAATGCATCATTCTGTACTGATACAAATACATATCCTTAGATCCATTTGCAGAGGAAACTCCCAAAACAAAACCGCATTTAGACAACTCTACCGATTCACTACGCATATGAACCCTAAAAAACAAGTGATCCAACTCGTCAAAACCCCCACAAAAAACCAAAAATTTAATTTTAACAACAGAAAATTTTCAATGATTCAGAATCAAAAGTTCAAAACTACACAATGCTTAGAACACAATTCAACAGAAAAATGACTCAAACAATAAAATCCCGTTCAAAGCCCTAAAAACAAATTTCAACAATTAAGACCCCTCAAACCCTAGGACCATTCCAATACCAGAATCACTTCACCAGTTCCCATCAAATACCCCAAATGAAAATAATGCCATAAAAACCCACAAACTGCAGGTAAAAACACCAATAAATAACCATCAATGTATTAAAAATATAGAAAAATGAAAGGTTGAATACCTCAAGAGGAAGGCTCATGTAGTCACCGCTGGGGTTTTCCTGCATCTCCTTCACCTCCTGTAAAATCCTCTTCACTGAGGGGTTTTTTAAATTGTACCGATCTTCCGCCATTTTCAGGGAGATGAAGAAAAGCAGTAAAATGAAAAAAATGGCAAACGAAGGCAATTTGCAGGATCTGGAAAGGGATTTTCGGTAAGTTATACGCGTGAATGGCTGCAGCCTTCTGATCTAAACACGTTGTCCAAAATCCATTGACGGTGTGGATTTTAGCAAGTCGTCGATTATTAATTGGCTGCCTTGAAATGGCGCGAAAGCAAACAACACCATTTTCACGCTTTTACTTTATTTACTTGGAATTTATGGTGAGAAAATCAAGGGCGGGTATTGCCTCACGTTAAAATTAATTTATCGTTAGAATATGAGCTCTCCCGATATTATCTCATTAATATCTTATACAAGACTAATGATAGCAAACAAATATTTTCGAAATCCTTAACTAAGAGAGAGACTTTTAATTTTGTAATGAATTTTTCTTAAGTAATTGCTCGTTGATAATATAAAATTTGGAAGAACCTTAATGACCATATAGATTTTTACATTTTAAAAATCGTGGTTCAGTGCCTAAGAAATAGTTTGAATGTCGATTCTCTAGAGCTTGAATTTTGGAAAAAAATTAGAAATCCCTCAAACTTTCGTTTTAACATCCAAATGTTTTAAAACCCGATGATTTCCCATTTGGATCGTCAATTCAAATAGGAATCGGAGACCGCATTGGTTGTAGGATGTTTTGGGTCCCGGCCTTTTTCCCCTAAATCCTCTTTTATATGTTTTTCTTATTTCTTTTAAAGGCCCGTGTGGATAGAGAAAATTAATCATTTTAGATATTTGAAATCCATGGATTTTCATTATCAAGGATATTGTCATGGACTCCTCAAATATTTTATTTGGATAAACTATACAAAATTCATAGATTCTTTACAATCATTTCCATTTCCATTTCCATCGTTTGGTAATTAAATAGATTTTCAATTTATCAAGGAAAAAAAAAATGGTAGTAATTCAATGAAACATGATTAGTAGGTAAATAGTTATTACAAAATACTATTCAATTTATTTAATAATACATGATATTTTTAGAAAACACTAATATTAATAAACCAAGACAATTATTAATAATGATTTATTAATGCATCATTACTCAACAAGACATAATTATTCTACAATATTCATGATCATTACCTGCCCTACAAGGCCATCAAATATTTTATAACATTGATGGCCATTACATTTACCATTCATAACATTCACGACTATCATATTCCTTAGCATTCATTATTAGCAAATCATGGTTATCGAAAAATATGATTTTTATTAAAAATGGATATTTCATAAAATACAATTATTTAATAATACATAATTACTAAACAAGACATAGTTATTCTACAACATTTATGACCTGCCTTACAAACCCATCAAATATTTCCTAATAATGATGGCCGTCACGTTTCCTGCCATTTATAACATTCATGACAATCATATTCCCTACCATTCATAACATCCATGATAATTTTCAGCGTATAAAACTTAATCGCATTTGATAACTTTCATACAATCTATAACCATCATATTCAATAATATTCCATAACATTCACAAAATTCATGGCCTTACCAAGCCATAACAATCAAGCGCGGTCCAAAAATAGTCATGACCATCAAGGTGTGACTGTCCATATCATATTACCCAAGAAAAATAGTATCAAGCACGACAATCAGTATAACTTTCATAAATCCATTTGACTCATCATTAAGTTTTTTTAGTAGAGTACAAGTCAATCACTAGCATCAAGTAGAAAGAGCCACTGGTCCTTGCATAACTCCAACTCCATATCTATGAACATTTGTCACACCTCAAGAATTTACAATACTGTTATTCCTGAGATGCGACAGACAAAACATATATACATCTATTGATAGGACAAATTTATAGTGGCGAGGTCTTACAAAGTAAATAAAGAAAGCTAGTACAACAACAGTATCTTCCAAGGTTGATCTTGACTAGCACTCAAAATGAATCCGCAGTTATCCTGAAAAAATATTTACCATAGTTTAATGAGTTTGGTTACTCAGTAAGTGATCATCACAATCCTAAAAATAATCATGATTGAAAGATATCAATATTTTCCAAAATGAGATCTATGAACAGAAATGCATCAACAGTTTCACTTTCAATAAATGCATAATTAAGTGTAATCCGAGTAATTGAAATGCTTATAACACTTTTAACGGCAGTACATAATTCAAAGGATTTCACAAAATACCCTACTGGCGCCCCAAGTAGGTCACCTATATACCCCATCAGCGTCCTGATGGGTCCACTTAATCCCTATCGACGTCCCAGATAGGTCCACTTAATCCCTGCAGGTCCACTTATACCTCACCGGCGTACCGGATGAGTCCACTTAATCCCTACCGGCGTCCCAGATATGTCCACTTATACCTCACTGGCGTACCGGATGAGTCCACTTGCATACTTAAATTATTTTTAAATCTCTTTAAACATTTGGAAGCAGCAATATCATTTACTCAACATATCACTGAAACCATTAATATGAATTTCATTTAAACCATTAATAACAGTCACTCTCTATAATATTTCAAAAATAACCAATCAAATATTTTGGGCTCAAATTTAGAAAGGTAGCAGTTTGTGAAGGCATTCTAGCATAATTGCCAATTTAATATGTATAAAAAAAACTCTTACAGAAATTCAAGAATACGGAATTATCACAATTTATGGGATACAAATAAACATTTCACAACAATATTATAATCAATTGCAAAAATGTCAATTTTTAAATAATAAGGCAGTCATTTGCACATGAATTTTTCAATGTCTAAATATTCAAAACAGTAGAAGGAAATATCACCATTTATTTATTTTTTTACTAAAAGCAGAAATATCACATTTATTTCTAACAATAAACAAGAAAAATAAATAAATTTATTTTTCTAATTTACATCATTCAATATTTCTAACATAGATAAAATATCACAATTTTTATCAAAAAGATTATTTTTCAAGATAATGAGGTCACGTTCGCATAAAATTTATCGCGCCTAAAATTCATGATAATAAGTAGAAATAATTATTTCATTTTATTTTTAAAAATAATGGATTATTTTTCGAGACAATGAGGTCACTTACACACAAAACTGATAAAATAAAGATCCTAGACGGAAATATCACTATTTATTAAAAATAGACTATTTTTCAAAAAGACGATGTCACTTACTCACAAATGTTTAAGAGGGAGCTTCCAGTAAAAAAATTCGGTTCGAGAGAGGAGTTCACTGTATTTCGACCAGAGAGAGAGAGATCTCAAAATTTTCTAGGGTGGGAGTGCTTACCTCCCCTATTTAAATTCTTATAACGTATTATTATAATATTTTATTACGCTCTACCTCATACCTGAGGTGTCGCGTTAAGCGTCTGCTTTTAACATACGAAAACCACGTCCGCTAAAGGATGTGGCCAGCAGCAAGCAGCAACTGCAAAGGCTGCAAACAAAAGCAGCAGCAAAAGTTTAAACCAAGTAAAAGTTTTGAAAATAGTGATGGTCCCCAATGACCATCATACTCAATCAGACCATCACCTATTTAAAAGCATCTTTTCTCTTTTGAAATTTTAGGATTGTTACAACATTGTTGCAATATTATGGTGTTCGACAAGATATTTAATTGCTCTCAAATAATCATAGGATGTAAGTGCCTCAACCCTCTTCGGTTCTGTCATTAACTCCATATTATTTACAACTATCTGCCTCTTCTTAGTTCCATTGCATTATCAACAGCAACTGCGATATCAGAAATAGAAGCGACAATTGCCTCAGCCACACGACTTCTCTTCGTTTCTGGTTGTTTTCTCTTTGAAGCTGATGAAGTAGTATACTGTCGAGATATACCATCTCCATACGTAGAAGTTGTTGATTCACCGAAGTCATAGTCATCACCCCCTCACTGTCAGAGAATGGGGGAGAATAGATCTCGATGCTCACAGAGTGGGCTTAGAGAGAGAGAGAGTTTGTAGTATGAGAGAGAGAGCTTAGCGAGAGAGAGAGAGAGCTTAGCGAGAGAGAGAGAGAACAGAGGCCACGACCTGGTTAAAGAGAGAGTGGGAGGCACAGGGGATTACCTAGTTAGAGAGAGAACATGGGCGTGGCCTGAAGGAGTGGGCTTTAGAGAGAGAGATATTGTGTTTAGGTTATAATCAAGCCAAAGAGTTTACTCCAACCCGTTCTAACAAATGATGATTAAGATGAGATTCAACATTTTGTAGATATAACTAACCCGCTATTAAAGATATCAAAGAAAGAAATAATAAAAAAAGACCTATAGTATATAGATCCTCATTGATGCACAAGCTGCTTGCATACCACCATTGATAGAGACCGGAATAAGAGATATTCAATGAACCTAGAGCACGACCTCGAGTAAAGGCTTTTATAACTAGTTGACCAAAATGAGGATCCAAATTGCATAAGCAATAGAGCATATAAATAAAGTATCCTATACCCGTCAAATACATACCTGGAACTATGTAGAAAGATTATTACTAACTATCCAAAGTAAGAAGTGAAAATATCCCGATAAAGACATTCCCCAATGATACCATCATGACTCTCGAAGTCATGTGCAGTTGCATTATCAAACCAAATATGATGAGTAGTAGGGTCCTAAGCTAAGCTTCTGCTAAACCTTGAAAATCTAAATGCAGTTGCATTATCAAACCAAATATGATGAGTAGTAGGGTGCTAAGCTAAGCTTCTGCTAAACCTTGAAAATCTAAATGCCATAATGCTCCTAATCATTACATTACCGAATAATTATTTTTAAAAAGAATGCCCTTGTAATAGCAATTCTACCCAAAAGATATTGGGTTACTCCTACAAGGTATCCTTGGACAATGCGCAAGGTTCTATGTTGAGTAGCTGGAGCAACTTTTAAGTTGTTATGAGCCCGAACGAGGGATTCAATAAGTTATTGCCGCCCGCTAAATAGAAATATTAAATTGAAGACCTAAACAAAATGAGCACATAGGGAAAAAAAAAAAAAAAAGGCCCTATGCGAATAATGAACAATCATAAGATTAGATTACCTAACATTCTCAAATGAATTTTAAATATTTTTTATAAAATAATGTGAAGTTTAAATATTTTGTATAAAATAATGCCAACAAATCATAGTTATTTTACATGCAAAAATCCCAAGGCAAGCAAGATTAAAATTAATTTGTG